GTTTATTTACATGAAAAGAATGAACTGAATTTTGGGCTTTAGGATGTTTTGAAGATGTTAACTTGAATTTGAAAACAGATGAAAAAGACACCAAAATTGATTTTGTAACTTAAATAATTTATGTTTAGTAATCTGTGATCCTTTAAAAACTTGATTCCTAGATTTCAGTATTCTTTTTTGAAAATTCGACTTAATCAATTAAGCAATTCATTACTTTTTTAATTGACAAGAAAAATTGTACATATCTGTGGTGTGTCAGCATCCTCCTACTTCTTTGAGGGTAATGCAATTCTTTTGAAGGAGTCACTGAATGCTTGTCTTACTTGTTTGTTTCTCAGAGTGTAAATGAATGGGTTCAACATGGGAGCAATGGACGTCATAAGCACTGTCACACCCTTATTAATAGTGACTGATTCCTTTGCTGAAGGTTTGACATAGATGAAGATACAGCTTCCGTATGTGATGGAGACCACAATCATGTGAGAAGAACAGGTGGAAAAGGCTCTTTTCCTTTGCTGAATGGAGGGGAATCTTAGAATGGTCTTGATAATGTATATGTAGGACAGAACAACACAAAGAAGGGTTGTGATGAAGGCCATCACAGCACAGGCTATTACCATCTGTTCTATAAGCCATGTGTCTGAGCATGAAATCTTCAAAATAGGGGATGAATCACAGAAAAAATAATCAATTACATTAGAGTTACAGAATTCTAGATTTAGTATCATGACAAGTGGTGGGAGTATAATCAACAAGCCAATGGTCCAGCAGCAGAAGATGAGCCTTCCACAGACTCTGTTGTTCATGATGGTTATATAGCGCAGGGGTTTACAGATGGCCACATAGCGATCATAGGACATAACAGCCAGGAGAAAAAATTCTGTTACTCCAAAGACATCAATAAAAAATACTTGAATGACACAAATATTATAAGTAATTGATCTGTCACCTGTTGCTATATTGTACAAGTATCTAGGGATACAAGCAGATGTAAACAAAATTTCTAATAAGGCAAAATTCTGTAGGAAAAAGTACATAGGTGTTTTAAGGTGTGAATCCATGAAAGTGAGAGATATGATGGTCAGATTCCCAGTTATACTCAACATGTAAGTGAGGAATAGAAACACAAAAATCAGAACTTGAAGTTGAGGATCATCCGTCAGCCCTAGCAGAATGAAGGTTGTTATTGTCTTGTTTTTCATCATTGACATCCAGTTTCTTCATATTTTCAAGAAAAATTAAGAGACATTTCAAATGAATAGAGTAATTTAAAAGAAAAATGGTGCAGTTGTTCTCTCTTATTAGGGTGTAGAGAGTCACAAGGACTGCTGCTATCACCTCAACAACTAAAACTAACCAGATTAGCTGTAACTGTGGTTAAAAAAAATCTTATCAGAGGTCTGAGAATCCAAAGAAGCCTATATGAAATAAACTACATAAACTAATAAATGCTTTGTAGGAGAGAAGTGACATTCAACTGCTATTATCTATGGCAGAGGTGATGAAGATGGAGGAATTTGCCATAGGTAATAGCAAAAATAAACTACCGAAAACTTTCATGAACTTTTAGTGGCTACATATGGGCTTTTGTGACAGATTTTTCAAATATTTTTCAGTCAGAGTGAATTTTCATTTGCAATTCTTTCCGCCAAGTTCTTATCAGGTCCTGGGGTATATTTTAAAGCCTGGGAGAAGGAATAGATATTGTCCTAAGTACAAATCAGATGTTCTCTGAATAAATTCCAGGCTTTCAAATGCAGAAGGA